AATAATAATAATAAATAATAATAATGCTGTAAAGGAAAATATACAACATGGTAGGCCCTAAATAACAATTAAAATGGTACCAGGTGCCCGCAAGACGGAAACAAATTGGCCGTAGATCGGGAGTTCTAAATGTGGAATTGTGGATTTTCTCCCTAAGGGATGGGAGTTCTCCCTGTACCCTCCCACTGCACTGGCTCCACCCCTGCTTCACGAATTGCCTTTTTCCAACTTGGGACCCCTGCAAATGTGTATCTTTGTTGTAATATAAATGCTAAGTTTTTATTATTTATTTGAGGTATATTTATTAAAAATTCAACATCAAAAACATACATAGCAGCAACAAAGGCTGAATTGCATATCAATTAAGAAGTATAAAATATATATTATATAATATTAAAAAGGTAGACAAAATAAAAAGACAAAAAAATAAATACCAATATCAAAATACGAGATAACCACGGAAGGAGCATTTGTAAAACGACCCGACAGTAAAGGGAGGGGAAAATAAATCAATCAACTGGAGGGGGAAAATTTTGAGTTTAACTTTTATTTATTATGTAAGCCAAAAATGGGATCGGACTTGTTTGGAATCGTTTGGTTACCGGTAATTAATTAATCAATTAATTACTTTTCTTTTATTTAAATAAGCCTGCTTCTTCATATCCGGAATAAAGAAGAGTCCCCCCTAGTTATGTTTGTTTTCAATACTAGGTCTATAGTGATAATCTTATATTTCTATGTTGCCCTAATATACCACCAAAATCATGTGGAAAAAACTTTCCCTTTCCCTTTCAAACTTAGGGACAGGAAAATGTAGATCCAGGTCTTCTAATACTGTGTTGATTGATCGAGACATTTTTGTTTTCGTTAGTTATTATTATTTTATCACTAAGATAATCACATGTCGAATATGCTTTGTTACGCGCGATTTTCCACTAGGCTCATTCCCACAGCCGTTGATTTTCATTCCCACAGCCGTTGATTTTTTCCACTTGACCCGATGTCAAAAGTCATGAAAGCACCGAATGATAAAAGAACCGTACGTAATGATGAAAGGGCCGAAAGGTAAAAGCACCAAATGATAAAAGAGCCAAAGTACGGCAAAAGCACCGAACGTAATGTTAAAAGCACCGAACGTAATGTTAAAAGCACCGAACGTAATGTTCAAAGCACCGAACGTAATGTAAAAGCACCGAACGTAATGTAAAAAGCACCGAACGTAATGTAAAAGCACCAAACGTAATGTAAAAGCACCGAACGTAATGTTAAAAGGGCCGAATAGCAAATGCGCCGAACGGAAAAGAGCCACCAAAGGCAGTAACGGCGTTCCATAATATTGAAGCAGGCTTGCCAGATAGTCGACAGGCTTCACGCTGGCTTCACGGCCAAACACACGCCATCTCACGGCCAAATTCGGCCATAGTCCACCAGAAATACGGGTTTGACTGGACAAAATTGCAACAAAACGTTTTATGATCTAAAACTTAATTATATGTAAAACAACATACAAAAAGTTTACCAAAATAGGACGTACATAAAGGTGTTTTTTATAACCAAAAGTTCAGCACTATTTGAAAGTAGACTTTTACACGGTACGTACGTACTGCGATTTTCAAACTTTTCTTGATTATGATTGGTCAACATTTAATTTAGGTCAGAACGTAGGTAATATCTGTTTGTTGCCGCAAGAGTGAGACCCGCGTGCGAGCTTCGCGATCGCGAGGTTTGGTGTGCGAATCACAGATACTAATAAAGAGCTTACTAATAAAGAACTTACTAATAAAGAGTGGCATGAGGTTACTAATGCGAACGATGTAAATTTAAAATTAAATATTTTTGAACGGGAATTAAATCACGCATACGAACATTTTTTCCCACTACGAACAATTCGTGTACACTCAACAGACCAGCCCTGGATTACGCCTAAAATAAAAACAAAAATTAAGGAAAGACAATTAGCATATCGCAAGCATGGACAGTCTTCGAATATTTACCGCAAGTATAGAAATATCGTCAAATGGGAAATTAAACAAGCCAAGATTAAATATTATAAATATGAAGTAGCGCATTTACTAACTTCCAACTCAAGGCAATGGTTTAAACAAATCGGTAAAATGTGTGGAACTAGTAAAAATAAAAATGATTCATTAAATCTGAACATTGATGAATCGGATCCTGAGAAAATTCGCGAAGTGATTAACTCGAAATTATCTGAGATTTGCCAACATTTTGAATCGTTACAAATAAATAGGTTATCGACGTATCTTCCATATAAATCGCCTCCACCTACGTTAACG